AATGACTTAAAGTTGAATAGCTTGCCGTGTTGAGCTGGGCAGTGTGAGGTTTCTGACACACTAGTGTTGCATGCCAACTTTTTCTTCCAGCCAGCAGCATTAGGGCAGCATTAGGAATGACATCCTCTGCCAACAGCTTCTTTATAGCCTACTTGGAAATCCCAAGAAGCATAGATTTATGCCAAGATGAAGATGCCAGCATTTTTCATTTTTAGCCTACTTGAAAGTGCCAGTAGACACATTTATGCAGAAATCGAAGAAATGAGAGATGACGGGGTAGGCTTTGTTTCTCTCGTGTTTTAGTGCACGTATAGCTTGCTCATTTATTCTGTCTAATCCTGTCACGTCTACTGATCCACCTGAGTAGGTAGGGAGAAAGTGGGGTCAGTTGAGAGAGGCAGAGGTGTGGCTCCTCTTAGGCAGTCCATCCATCTCTTCCTTCACTTCATCCCTGATCCTCCCACTTCTTGCCTTATTGCCCCGCTCTCAGTTCCCAGCACCCTTCACCTATTTCCCCTCCTTTCCCCTTGCTCATTCTCCTCTGACTTGTAAAGACAAGCATCTCAGGAATATCCTAAACATTGATTTTCAACCACCACCGCCCGCTCTCCCCAGTATCTGTGTCACGGCTCAGGGGCTGCCTTCACGCTGCCCCCATTGTGACTGTTGGAGGTCAGCCACATTTGAAGCCCTCAGGGATCAATGGACATGATACTGTACAGTAAATATTCACTCCCGAGCTTGCTGTCTATCTGTAAACTTGCATGTACTTGTACATTTGCACACAGACACACATGCACTGTGCAGACAGGGGCCAATGGTCACTCCTTGAGCTTGTCGTCACATTTGCCCACCTCCATTTCCTTGGGTGTGAATGGAGGAATCTAACTCTGGATAGGTGATTTCAATTCAATTCTCACCCATTGGATCTATTTACACTCCACCAGGGTGAAATATGCTATAGGTTGTTTTCCCCTTGTCACTCTAGCTGCCATTGGTGTCATATCCAGTGGACTGTTTCTTGTACTGTTTGCAAAAACTCTTTATAGGTTTTATCAACTGTAGAAAATACAATAAACACATTTTGAATTCTTTGCGTTTTGGCTTTGATGGAGATGCTGATGTCTGTCAAATTAGTATATTATACAAGCAGGCCTTACAGGGCATAGTTAGCAGTATCCCCAGTTTGTGACTCACATGTATTACATACACTTGAGTCAGTGATATTGTAGTCTTCTGTGAGCCCGCAAAATTGCTGACGGTTTTATCCCTGTACCGTTGTTTCATAACACTAACCCAAATTCTGAAGGTATTTCCTGTACCTTCATTGACTTAGAACAATGCTGACTCAAGATAATCTGGTCCTGTCCAGGAAAAATGTCATTTTAATCAGTTTCTCAGCCATGTTCATTTGTTTGACATAAACAAAGATGGCGACAGGAAATGATGTCATCACTCTGGCTTTGTGTGAAAGCGGCATGGCCATTGATTGAGGCAGACTTTCACGAAAAATGAGAAAAGATGTCATTTCCTGTCGTCATCTTTGCTTAACTGAAAAGAATTTTGTTTACCTGAGAAACTGTCAAATTGTATTTTTGATATACTGATTTTGATATTTTAGTTTTTTGATTCATTAGAGGAGTTTATGAGGATTTGGGAACTACCTTCAGAATTTGGGTGGGTGTTCTGAAACAACACTACAGGGTTAAAACAGTTGGCAAGTTTTAATTTCACAGGTTAACTAAGGATTATCTCTGACTCGAGTATATGGGTAGCTAGATTAGCAGGACAGGTTTATGCACAAACAGGTAGCAGGCAGGTATATGTATAGTCTGAGAATTTATGCCAGAAATAATTAATTTATTTTATATTAGCATTTGCCAAACATTTAGCTTGCTGAAGTGTCCTTGAGCATGGCACTGTTTTCCCGGTTGTGGAGCTTCATTTTCGTGTTCATTTTTATAGGTGTTACATTGATGTTAGTTGTGTGTATCTGTTTGTGTGTTTGCTCGTGTTTATGTGCACATGCCTCCATTTGCTAGTTTGCTGGTGTTTTTTCTGGAAACCCTGTGTCTCCAACTTTGTCATCTTTTATTGTACCTGACAACTAGTCTGTTGCTTGCTGAAAATTCGGACCTTGCTAGCAAACCAAACACTTATACAGTGCACTCATAAAATCCACAAAATGCCAGGTCTCAAAATGTCCACATCATTTGGGCAGCAGCCATGGTACTGTGCGCTGTCACTGTCTTTGAAGTCCAAGCATTGAAAAGTTCTGATGCCATTTAAACTCAGCAAAATATGAGCATCTGTGCCTCAGATATTTTTATGTGCTCAAAATAAAATGGTTAAGTACAAGCGTTTGTGTGTTTCACAGCTGACATTGGTATTGGAATTGTATTTCATTTGGCCAGTGTCATTGAGCTCTAGTGTGTGTGTTTTTGAAGAAGGGGAGGGTGGATTAACTGGTGCAGGATCTGTCATGGTGACATTTGTGTCCCCTGGCGGAGCAGCAGGGGTCCTCTTTACCTCTGTAACCTTCAACTTTCAGCCTTAACCCCCCCTCAGGCCCCCTCTTGCGTCCACCACACGCCCAGCACGTCCGAAGGGAGGGATATACAATGCAAGACAGTGAAAGAAATAAAAAAAAAATAAGGGGGGAGGAGTGAGGGTGCAGAAGTGAAGAAGACAGACAGCTGCAGGGGAGGGCGGAATGAAGAAAAGGAAAGAAGAAATGAGGCTAGTATGGGAAACTGAGAGCAGAGAAGGAGAGCAGAAATGAGGCAGAATGAAGGGAAAATGACAGGAATATGGAAAGGACAAGGTGGTAAAAAAATATAACCAAGAAGCAAAATGATTGGCAGAGAAATGTGGAAGAAGAGCAGAACAGATCGAGTAAGAGCCTATAGTAAAGGAAGGTTCTTGTTAGAGCTCTCACATGTCCTCAGTGGCATGAGAAAAGTCCTGTTGGGAGGTGTTATAAGTTATTTTGTATTACTGACAGACAAAATATTGAATTTATAGAAGTATGAAACAGTATTGCAGCAAATGTTGACAGCTTTTATCTGTTATTAGTCAGTTATAGTCATCTGTTATTCCTCTTTTAGTTAATCAGTTTTCCCTATTAATAAGTAATTTACTCAGGTGACTATTGTTTAATGCGGGGCACTGATCTATTGATCATTCTAAGGGGGATTACTGAAGCTTGTATTGTAACTGCTGGTAAAGGTTGCAGAATTGCATGGTTGCACTTACAGCTACACGTCGTGGTTTATGTTGAACATATGCCATTTATTGGCACAAATTTGCTGCAACTGCTGTCAGAACTTGATCTTGAAACTGGTCCTGCTCCTCCTCTCTGTATTGTCAACGTAAAGACCACTGGTTCAGCCATGCACATGGACACTGGCAGAAACATGGATGAGAGGGTTTTTCTTGGTGTTTGGAACCTTCCTTGTTTTCATAGCTATGCACACATACACAGCAAGAAATAAAAAAAATTTCAGTGTGTTCCCCCTTTCCACTTCTCTCCCGTACTTCCCGTCACTTTTCCACAGTCCTTTATCATTCCTCAGCAGCACTTCCCATCTTCTCACCCATTAAATCAGCATAAAATAGCCCTAACTGTGGCAGATCACAGGGTAAGGAGAAGGGGGTGGTTGGGGTGTAGAGCTTTGAGCTCTGTCGCTTTTTTTCTGTGCCGCTCTTTTCAAGATGGGAACCATGAAATTATCCAACAGGATTATGTAAGGCATCATGGATGGTTCTTTGTCTTGTCATCCGTTTTTCCATTGTATTCCTCTCTCTCATGTGTTAGCCATGAAGCTCCTCTACACAATTTGTGTTGTTAGATGTAAAGTAGTGGCCCCCACATCTAGCTTCATAAATATTCACATTATATTTTTTTGAGGATATGTTCAGGGCAGGATCATATCCAGCCCTTGTTAAAGTGGACATTGTTCAGTGAACGAACTCGTATACCTGTTGAACACACGGTTAGGCAGAAGCGGCGTGCTTTCACAAGCCTGTCCATTCCAGTGAACCTGACACATGAAAGCTCATCTCTTCACACCCTTGCTTTACCTGCTGAGGTCAAAGGGTGACCTTGGAGCTCTGGAAACCATGTTTACCAGAGACCCCTGTGGTCAGGCGCTGGCTGGGTGACTGCGTTCTTTTCAGCCATATGTTAAAAGCCTGAATTTGGAAGTTTAAGAAAGATGTTGCATGTTACAAGAGTGACACCAAAGCAGCAGCAGGCTGCCGCCTTATCAGGGCAAATTAAACGGTTAGTGGGTATGCTTACATTTGCTGTGTCAGATTTTTGGTGAACAGTGGCCATCTTCATTATAATACCAAACTTTCTCTAAAGGTTGTATTCCATATCTTTATTATTTATATAAACCATTAATAACTTGCTATCAATTCTGAATTAATTGATGAATGACCATTTTTAGGTTGTGTAGGACTGCAACTAATAATTATTATACTGTTGATCAGTAACTTAAATTATTATTAATCAATTAGTATGTAGTCTTGTGTCTTGCATGTAGATATCATCTCTCAGTGCAAAAAAATCTCTCTCAAAAAAAAAAATCACAAATTATAATGCTAAACATTTAGCTTAGGGTTTACCTTTACCCCGGCAAATATCCAGGCTTGTTTCAATGTAGGAATAATTAAGCAAATAAACAGGAGGATGTGTTGATGCAGTTTTAAATTGCATGATTTGGTGTATAATATAAGCTATCATATCTACACTGAGAATATAGATTTGCATATTTACAGCACGTACAGCCTAGACATTCTCTCTTGTCTTTCACCGTGTGCTGCTCTGAGTGTGTGCGTGTGTGTGTGTGTGTGTGTGTGTGCGTGCGTGTACAGACTTGCAGCCGCCACCCTTGCCCCCACCCCGCTCATTAATATGTATGTGTTCTGAGGCAGCTAGCGAAGACAGTGTGTTTCTCACCCGCTGATTAATGCTGTCTGTCAATTACCTCTAGATCCAACCGTGCTGTGGAGCTTCCCTCAGGACCACACAGACCAGGTTGGAACACTCTCTCTCTCTCTCTCTCTCTCTCTCTCTCTCTCTTGCTCCAAATCTCTCTCTCTCACGCCTTCAGTGTTACAGACAACCTCTACCTCCTCCTCTCCCATCTCCCTTCTTTTCCTAATGCCCTCACTCACCCTGCCATCCTGTGGTAACCTCCTCCAAAACCTATCACAACCACTACCACTCTCCTCCTCATCCCTATCAGTGCTTCCTCTCCTTCTCTCTCCTCCTCCTCTCTATCTCTCTCTCTCCTCCTCCTCCTCCTCTCTGTCTCTCTCTGTCTCATTGTACGTCTGCTGCTGGTAATGAAAAGCAGTGAGCAGGTCTTCAATACCTGTAACTGACGAATCAGTAATTATCATGCAACCGTGACAGGAATGCACACCTTTGTTTTCCCCTTTCGCTTTCTCTGCCTTTGTATCTTCTGCTTTCTTTCTCATTGTCCTACTCTGCCTGCCTCCTTTTGTTGCACACTTATAGCATTATGGGGTTCATTTTCAATCTGAAGGCAAAATCTGCAGTTGTTTTGCAATACTTTGTGGCACGCTTTGTTCTTCCTATACCAGCCAGAGGTACGTATTGAAGAGTTAGATATACCTTATGAGTCTGTATGGCTGCAGTCTTTGACATGGGTAAGAGTAACAGTATATTTTTTGGTTATCATTTCTATTGATTATGATAACACTACTCACCAAAGAAATAGAGGAGATTTGCTGCTGCATGAAAGTTAAAAACTCAGATGATCACAGGTTGTAAATAAAGCAGCAGTTTGCAACAAGTCAGATTATCTAAACCACTTTATTTGGAGATAAAACTAAAAGGAAGTCTATGCCTTTATTCTTGTGTACGCACAACAGTGGTAAGTAGTGTAACGTTTAACTAGCAAGTGAATCTGAAACCTGTAATAAATGTGTACAATGGAGAGTTTTGATAATGTTTTACAATTGGCCTGTGTTTTCTCTAGGGATGGACTGATCTTAATAGCATCAGCCCCAACTCATACCTGAAGTCAGAGTTTTTGCTATCATTGACAGTCATAAAAATGCATAAAAACTATCCCAGTAAATTGCACAGAGTGAGGTTAAAAGATTTCACATCAGAGAAAAAGAGAGCACTGGAATCAGATTCATCATTAAAGTCCGCTGAAACCCTGAGCTGTGCAAGAATTAGTATGAGGTAAAAAGTTGGATCAGTCGATCCAATAGTTTCCTCTTCCAGATCAATTTTTGCTTTTTCAGGTACTGTTTGAATGCTTTTGTTTATTGCCCCATCTGACTTCTTTTTAATGGTGTCACTGTAAACATGATGAGTTATCCTTTGGTGGAAATGATGGACAGAGCTACAAAATAACACCCAAGTTGTCATAAACCTGAATTAACCTTTAAGCCAATCAGCTCAGGAGGACGGCATCAACACTTTGGAGTCATTTAAATTGGATGAAAATGCTTCTTATTTAAAAAGCCTACTCTTCACTCTTGGAAAAAGACACGGTCTCAGCAGGACGTCTTTGTTTTCTCTCTGGCTTCACCTTCAAAAAAAAAAAAACACCAGTCAAGATCAAACTTGAGTAAAAACAATCACACAGGCTGTAATAATATGTGTCTTAATCTCTGTTGTGCACGTCACATCTGTGAGTAGATTAGACTGCTTCATTCTCCTGTTTTTGCTCCATCATGTGATGACTCCATACTCCCTTTTACCCTGCCCATTCATTCCAGCAGTTAGCAACTAACAATGGAAAACTTCCTGGTACTACTGCTACTACTACAACCTGGCTACAGGTTCACGTGTCAGGCTGCCTTAAACTGTTGGCCACGTCTCTCCAGTTTCTTCTCCAATATAGGTCTTATTGTGCAGACACGTTGCTTGCAAGAAACCGAAGCTAATAATCATTAACGTGCTGTGCACTGTGCACAACAACTTAAAGTCTGAATCATGTAAATGAGCAGGATGAGCAAAAGCACAGCCCTGATCTCTTCTTCTGCCATTGTTGTTTTGAAAGCAATAATGTTACTGGTGGGCTTTGCGTTTCTGATGTGTGTGTCAAATGTTACACTAGATGTCACGTTAAACGTCATGGCTCCAATACCGTGATGCTGGTATCTGTGCTAGCCTTTTTTATGTTCAGTGTGCATAGGCAAAGCTGCCATGAAGAAGGGCCAGGTTAGCACCGATATAGTGGAGTATTTGTCTAAAGAGTGCTCATGACTCCTGCTCTCTGTTGTTTCTCAGGCAGTGAGTGAGTGATTCGGTAGTGACAGTTCATCTAGGAATGGCAAAAGAATGGCAATTTGACAGAGAAAGAATAGACAAGATATACAACACATTGTAGCCAATAGCAGCCACAGGACAAAACAGGACCCCAAGCAAATCACTGGACAGATGACTGCAGCAGCCCATCAGGGAGGAAAGAAAAATGGACAAGTAAAAGAAAAAAACCCGAGAGAAAGACAACAATATGCATGTAGGCTAACTATCTCTCAACACAGCAACCAAGCCAGCGAGTTTAAACATCTCTCCTGCCTCTCTGATCCACTTTGAGGAATAAACGGGCTTGTAGAAAGATGCTTCAGGCGATGTCTGCCTGCCCCACAAGAACCAGAGCATACTATCAGAGTAAGAGGTAGAGGGAGTGAGGGAAGGAGAATGTGAGAGAAGAAATTACAGCCTTACGGAGGCAGGCACAGGAAACCGTAGTGATGGGAGAGGAATAAAAAGCAGCCGAATTGAAGAGAGATAAAATAAAAAATAAAATGGTGTAAACGTAGTGTATGTGTTAACATGGGCCTACCTTGTTCTCCTTCGGCCCCCCACAAGCTTACTTTTCTTTCATTTTGTTGTTGACCAGATCGTTTGTGTGGATAAGATGGCCCTTAAGATGGCTAGTTAGCGTGCTGTGTACAGAGGGATTGGCCGTTTCCCCTCTATACATAGACTGTATTCACAGGCCTCATTACCAGGATTAGGACTCCTTTCCTCTTTTGTGAAGCTGAAGGCTGAGGTCCTCTGTAGCTATAGTCGCTGTCTCTTTCTGTGGCCTGAGCTGGCCAGCATATGGCAGCAGCAGCCAACAGTCTCCGCACAGGGGCTCAGAGCTCAGAGCAAGGCCTCCTTTTGTTTAGGCCGTTATTGTTGCTCAGCGTAATGACATTTGTAGGCCGTAGGATCAGGGTGGAGGGGTTAGTCTACCCCAGGGGAGAAGCGGAGAGAGAGGGAGACAGAAAGAGAGGCGAAGACATGCAGACAGACAGGAGTGTGGATTATGGAAATATGAATTGATTTTTTTTTTTTTCAGTTTTGTGGTAGAATAGAAAGCTCAAAGGAGAACAGACTGCAGGCTGGCTGGCACGCCAGGGTGGTGCTGGGGAAATGTGAAGTGAGAGCTGCTTGCTCCCTCATTCTCTCTCTCTCTCTCTCTCCTGTTTTTCTTTTTACCTCCTGCTCCTGCTATTCCTCCCTCAGCCCCTGAGACTCTTGATGCCCTGGTCATCGGCAGATGCCACTTGGATACAGAGGGAAAGATGGAAGAGAGGAAGAGGGGGAGGGGAGGAGAGAGGTGGCTAAAGCATATATTTGAATCGGAAGAAGGGCTTTTTTTCTGCAAATGAAGCGGACAGATGGAAATCTGTCTGTTTCCTCTCAGATCTCATCCCAAAGTCATGGAAAAAACCACAGCAGACAGAACACACAAACATGCACGCATGCATACTCGCACGGAAAATGGTTCTGCTAGTTAATTCTACTGTAGCTAACCACAGTGTGGTGTGCGCAAGTCCTACTTCTCTATAAAAAACAGAGGATAAAATGATAAACACTCAGCAAGTTCCACAAATAGTTGATCGTTTTGAAACTTATAGACAGTGTAGGTAACGCCACAGTATATAAACAAGTTGCTCCACCCACCCTTAACCTGCTGCGCTTCTCATTCCACAACATACAGCCAAACATGTAAAGCTAACAGCCTCCAAGAGTAAACGATTTATTTCTTAACCTTTTTCATATGCAGGTTTGCCTCTCTGTTTATTTATTCAGTTAGTTTTGGTGATGTTTGCTTTAGAATTTTATGCTTATAATTGCACATTTCTTCCCAGAATTAGCTTTCCTTCCCTAGTTTACCCTGCAAATCATTCACGTACATGCACCCACATGCACAGAGAGAGCAATACCATTGTTTGTTTTCTTGGGTTACAGTATCATTATGTGTCAACATATCAATTTAGTAGAGCCTCACAGATCTCCTGTTGATTTTTCTCTCTTTGCCATCAGTCCAGGCTTTTTGTTCCCCAATCTCTTCTGTCCCCCTTTTATCTCTTGCTCCCTGCCGGTTCATCAGCCTTTTTCTGTCAGAAAAGCTTATTTCATATTTCATCTCAAAAGTCACTGTTGCAGGAAATAGCAAATTACACACAAACTGCATTTCTTTTTTTTTCCCGGCGGCCTGGTTGGAGCCTAATATCCAGAGAGAAATAAAGGAATATTGAATTATGAATAGATTTTAAGAAAGGTCTACTCCCAGCTCTGAACTTAAGTTGATGTTAACTCTGCCTGGCCATTCCACACATTTTAATGGGGAACCTTTGATCTTCCTGCCGCTTACTGCACCAAATTGACTATATAACATGCTGTTTTTCATTTATGCCAAGGCTTCAGTTGGTGTGATTCAGTACTAAAGTTAAATATCTGTGCTTTGATACGGACACATACATTGCTATGAATAATCAGTTTGTAATGTTTAATGCATTACAGGACCTATGTTGTGAAGTAATGTATTTTCCACTTTATTGTATATGAGCAATTTTCTTGTGACTTCCTACATTTCCCAGTCTGCCATTTTGATGAGCCTGTTGCGTTCGGAACACTTTTGTGGTGAAGAGAGCGTTCCATGTAGAAAAGACAGCATTTCCCCAGTTGAGGAAAACTCACATGCTCTTTATTTCAGACTTGCAGTGTTTTGATGCTAAATTGCATTTGGAAAATGTGTTATCTTTGCTTCA